GAAATAAAATACAGAAATATAAATCCACCCCATAAGCTTTCGGCTAAACTTATCGTTACTCGATGATACTGTCAGGCTGTGTCCAATTTCCTCTTTTCCAGGTGATGACGAAAGTCACACCGCTGTAGGGCTCAGAAAAAAAAACGTGATGGTTTTAAAAACTAGTCGCGCACTCTGGCGGGTTGCCTTCATTCTAGGCTACACAAAGAATTCTAGTTACGAATTCATTCGGTGAGTAAAGTGCACAATCCGAAACACATTGAAATCCAACGTTCTAGAAACCACACCGTTAAACATTTCCAGAATTGTGGTGGGGGAGGAAGCGAAATAAATGAAGAAATGATGGGATTGTACCATCATTATGAAAACTACTAATACATATCTAAGAATTGAAACATTTTGGAATGCAACACCAAGTCGTCGTGTAGACACCCTTGAAACGACTCCGAAAGGGCCAATCTTCACAGCTCGTACTGGCTCAGTCGGAGGTGACTCCATTATAGAAAACATTCGGTTTGTTTGTGTGTACGTGTGCAAGTTTGTGTGTCTGTGCGTTCGCCAAATGAAGACAGCTAATGCTTCGTGATGTTGATGTTATCACTGTGATAAGAACCACAAGAGCTATACGAACACCGATCGTGTACACTTCCGGTGATTCCTCGCCGAGCTGCCGTGATAGCTAGAGGAAGGGGAGTAGGGGGGACGGGGCAAGGGGAGCGGAGAAAGAAACCGACTGCCTATAAAGCTAAGGTCACACAGGGTTGAGGTATTATTGCGAGGTGATGTCATGACAAGCAACACCTACAACACCAGATATTTCACTTCACAGGCTCTATTCTTTCAAATTCAGCGATTACGATAGATTCTAAACAGGTTTAGGGGAGACGTGGCCAAAGAAATCCGCCAAGTGAGCACAAAACAGGAACCCCTTTTCTGGCTGTCTGTTTTCGCTAATGAACAGGTATACCTGAGAGAGCGGACGTACGAACGAGTTTCCAGCAACGCGTTGATGGCACCATGCCAAACCACGCTAATCGAGTTGCTCCAGTTGTGCTGGCAACGCAGCTCGTCCAAATCACCAACTAAACTAGTGGGCGGATCGCTTTTGGGGCGGAGTGCTTTCGAAGTCCTGCTCAGCAACCAGCGCACCTTTCGTCGTGAAAGCGCCACACCTCGCTTCCTTGGCAGCCAAGTAACTGCTTTTGTGTGGTGCATATGCTTTCCCGATGAGCTCCCTCTTTATTTTGATTGCTTCCTCTAACTGATAGCCATAGTGTTTACAGTTATTACCTCGATGTGTTTTTAGAGCGAACACTACGCAAAGAACCTGCTGCTAAATAGACGCTCAGGTTAGCCTTACACACTAGGTGATGTAAGTAAACCGGCTATTCTTCATAGTAATCCAGAGGTCCACCTATATAAATGTTTCCGCTGCTTTC